GGTCTCAAGTTCTCATGAATAAATTACAGGTTGAGATGAACCCACATCATCACTTCATCCCCAACAAAAAGTGACCAAACCCATGAATGTGGGTTTAGTAACCCCCATTGGCGCACACTCTTTTCCTTTTAATAGATCGTCACTGGCTGACCCCTTTTACTCAGGCCATTATCTTCTCTTTTAATATCTGTAGGTCGGTTGAGTTCTTGAATTTTGTGTCCCAAAATAGGATAAAAATTGAATCTTGGAAACAGAAAGAACAAAAAAAAAAAGGAAAAAAAAATGATGAAATCTGGAGAACAGCATCGAGATGAACATGTTAATGAGGAAATTGGCCTCAAGATTGATGCCCCACCATCGAATATCCTCCCGACAGGTGCACTTTTTTTTTTCCTTTTTTTTTTCCCCTAATTTTCTTAATAAAAAAATGGGTTTTTTATTTTTTATTTTTTATTTTTTTTAAAAAGAAAATATGAGGAATTGTTTGGTGTGATAAATTTTGCTGTTCACAGAGGGAAAGAGCAGAGGCAGATCGAGGGCTATGAAAACAAAACACTCTGTTGCTGAACAGAGGCGTAGGAACAGAATTAATGAGAGGTTGAAAATTTTCAATTAAGAAGCTTTTTTATCCCTTTTTATTTTTCTGATATTTTGGTATTATGAGAGTCTTGATACTGATTATTAAATGGGTTGTGGTGAATGTACAGAAGTGTAAATGCACAAAGTTTGTGTGTTTTTTAATCTTACAGTGGTTCACTATTGATAAATGATGATATTGTATACATTAATGGCCTTGTTTGGCTATGATATTGCGTAGCTGATAACTGATTGTATTAATCGGTAGCAAATTGTATTAGCTGCTTTGAGGTTTGTCAAGCATTTGATAAATTGCAGAAAATTTTAGTTGTTACATGGTATTGCCTTTTTATAATCATCTTTCCCCAAAATATTGATTTTTTGAACTTCTTCATAACTAGCATTTTGGGTCAAATAAGCTCGTTATCCGAACAAGCTCGAATCGAGATACAAACTGCTAATTTAGCACCAATCCTCTAATAAACAAACCGAGTCCATTGTCAAATGTTTAAAATGTTTGTTCAAGACTTCTTGCTTTTAAATTCATTTGTTTTGATCAAACTATCAGTACAAGATATGCAAAATACATGTTGTTCTGAACTTCTTGTAAGGGAATTTTTTTTTGTAGGATATTGATTAGAACGACCCATGAGCTGCTGTTATAACACCAAAATCTTGTAGTAAAGTAACTAAGAAGAAAAAAATCCAATATTAAATCTTGTAATGGGGTGATTATGAATTTGATGATAGCCCGGATGCCAAAAAAAAAAAAAAATACTTACGGTTATGATTACTAGTTCTAGCGATCGACGAGCGCTTTTCGTATACTTAATTTTTTCCTTGTGCACTACAGGTTTCAAATGATAAGAAATCTTATACCCCGTAGTGATATGAAACGAGACACTGCAACGTTTTTATTAGAGGTACTTCACCCATTATATGTGAAAAGGCATTTCATGTTTTTTGCATCTTTCCTATAAAGCTTCGGTTTTTATTTTTATTTATATATTTTCTTTTTTTGTTCAGGTTGTTCATTACATACAGTTTCTACAAGAGAAGGTGCAACACTATGAGAGATTGTATCAACCCTGCAGTTCGGAGGCCATGAAGCTAATAATGCCATTGGTAAAGTTATATTTATTTTGTTTTATCCGTAATTAATTCTACGACATTAGAGATGAAAATTTAGAGTTTGCGTTATATATTCGATTCAACAGAGGAATGATCAATGGCGAGCTCGGAGTTTTGTTGAACCACAGAACAATCTACCGAACAAGCCAACAAGCATGAATTTGTTTCCACTTGCAAACACTGAAAAAGCTGCATTAAATATGGACTCACTGCGTGGGCCATATTCGGACGAACAATCGGTTGATAGTCGTGAAGCTGGTGATGGGCTCAGCTGTCGGGATGATTTGACTGTAGAGGAAGGGACTATTAGCATCTCGAGCGATTTCTCACAAGGGTTAGTACAGAATTGTGTATCATTTTAGAAAAAAAGAAGGCGTCATTGTTTCAGTTTAGTCCGTTTATAATTTTACTGAGTTGGAAGGTTTCACCTAATGCAATAATCAATAATGGCCAGGCTATTAAATTCATTGGAGCAAGCCCTCGAAAGCACGGGTCTTGATCTTTCGCAAGCTAGAATCTCAGTACAGATAGATCTCGGAAAACGAGCATCTCAGGTTTGTGGCCTTGTTATATATCGACAGACTTCGAATATTTATGCATTTTCGTGCTATTTATATTCCGTTGAGCCCTTTTTTTCTTTTCCTTTTTTCGGTGATCATAATATAGGGTCGTGAAGAAGTGGATGAATTTCAGAAAAGGCGGAAGACTTGAAAAACGCTAGCTGGTCTGGACATTATAAGGTCCATTCTTCACTTAGTTTTTGTATAACTTTCTAGCTTAAGCTATACGCATAGCAACTTATGTATATCATATCTAAAGTTTTTTTTTTTTTTTTTTTT